GTAGAGCTCCAATAGATCTTTATCATGATCCATAATATTTTAGAATTGCCTCTGAAATTGTAATTTAAACTGACATAAAAAACTGTAGACTACCAAAAATGCTAACTTTTACAGAACAAATCATGTAAAAAATAATCAGTGCAGCCATCTGCAATAAATAAACAGGATAGTTAGTGGTGACTGGGGAGTTTTCTTCTGCTTGTAGAGTTGTTTTATTTATTATTATGTGAACACGATCAACATGTGTTTGTTGTTGTTCAGGCAGGCCACAGGCTGCAGCGAGCATTTAGCAAATCCTAGTTTGAATCAGTAAAAAATGATTCAAGGAATTTATTCGAACCATTTGAATATTCGTTTCAATATTTCAGCCTATTAGCTCTGTTAGCAACTAGCTGACCGAATTTAACCGTTAAAATCCCAGTTAAGTGGTTCAAAAAATTGAAAACATGCATCATGCGAGCGTACATACCTTTATCTTTCTTCACTTTTTTTCTTTTTTTATTCCTGAATCGGGCACCTGGTGGTTAGCCTTTTTATGTTCATCTCTTCTGTTTGGCTCTTGACTCAATAAGTTTCCTTTAGTCAGGACTAAACAATTTGACCTTGATGGGTGGGGGTGACCACAAAACCGCTTTGTTTTTCCTTTTTTTATTCGGCCATTTCACACAATTCAGAAACACCTGAAAGAACGATAGGCCTGTGTTTATGAAATTATGAATGAATTGTGCGTTAAATGGAAGAACATCAAGATGTGATTGACGTTAGCCATGTTAACACAGTTGATTCAGCCCCTACCCGCTCATTTCATTTGGGAAAGACCCAGAGGTGAATTCCCCTGCCACACCCCTCCCCTTCCTCTTCTTCATACACACACGGTGCACGTGAACCCTCTCAGTCAGCAGGAGCGCCTGCAGCTGCAGGGGGCGCCAACTTGCTGTTTCCAATCCAGACTCTGTCATATGACAGATGCAAGGGCGTCAGTTTGTTTCCAGAATTGCTGGGGACAATAACCATACACTTGAGTGGGGTTTAAAAATTGCTGGGGACAATAAAGTAGGCTAGCACAGGGGTCGGCGGCTCTGGAGCCGCATGCGGCTCTTCCATCCATCTGATGCGGCTCTGTGTTTGTAAAATAATGAATGGATATTTAAATAAAATGCTTTATATTTTACTGCATTAATTTTACATCTGTAAGCCAATTCTAAATGTAAAGATTGTCTGCGTAAACCTGAACAGGTCCAACCTGGTCTTACTGTGAGACCGGGTTGACGCGTCACGCTTGTACGTAATCATAGGCGCTTTATTAGCTGAAGACGATGTGAGATTCTGGGATTCTCCTCAGACGGCTCCTGGATGTGTCGCCACATTGGAGACGGGAACAAGCGCTATTCAGCCAAAGTTTCATCATCAGGGAACATTTTCTAAGTGACAAGTCTCTCTGAGAGACCGGGTTTGGAAAACACTCGCTTCAGTGGGAGGAACCTTCCCACATGCGCTCTGGGTGGCTCTGGGGTTAATCAAGTTTAATTGTTTCTCTTTGCAACAATCTTCACAAGAAGGCAAAACAGTTAAACGGCAGGTTACATATATTTCCATTTGACTGTTTATTTTGACAGATGAACTCAAGGATGTTGCTTGGTTTGAAAGAATTACCCCCACGCACACTGATGCACATGGATGAGCTGACATTTTAATCGTTAACGCACATCGCGGAGGTAAAAGATTCCCATCAGAACATCAGAGCTTTATACTGGACACTGTGTTCAGCGCGGCTCGGAGCGCCCACGGTGGACAGTGAGCTGAAGATCTGAGGGGTTCGCAGCGCAGCGCAGAACCATGGTGCATGCAATGATTTCCTCCCACTGATACAGTCTGGAAACCCGGTCTCTCTGAGGGATGTGTCACTTGGAAAAATGTTCTTTTTATGAAATTATGAAACTGGCTGAACAGCGCTTGTTCCCTTCTCTAATATGGACACGCATGATGCGTAGAGACATTTGATCACGCACAAAGTTCGTGTGGAGCAGAAGCGGTCGGGCCACGGCAGGTGAAATGTTCCTAGCCTACATGAAGTGTAACTGTTTAATTGTAACATTAATACGTTACTGGACACGCTGGTCTGGTTGGTTAGACCAGTGTTTGAAGTGGAAAACACACACACACACACACACACACACACACACCAATTAAAATAATGCTGATAGCATGGACTAGAAGACAGGTGATGGTTTACGTATTTAAATGATGATCAGGCTGCTGTAAAATGTAATCTCCATCCACATCCAGACAGAATCATCCTCTATTCTGTCTCTATTTGCTCTGCTCTTGTCTGGGCTGATCAGCTGATGGTGCGCCTAACTAGCGGCTGATGCACATTTTACGCATTTGGAGAGGTGGGCTGGATGCTGTGCGTTTACTGGAAGATGGTTAACGCACGGGTGTAGACTACATATTAATGACAAATGAATGAAAATTAAATTGTGAGTTTTTACTTCATATTTTATAAATAAAAATGACGGGGGAAAACATTTATGACGTCTTTTTAAACTAAATTTTCTAGCGCGACCTGCCTGCTTCACTTAAGTCACTGCTTATTAAGGTCCGTCCAGAATTACTGTGGGAAACGGGTAATAATGGCTCTTTGATGGGAATAGGTTGCCGACCCCTGGATAAGATCTGAGCTGGTAAAACAAAAATCCTCATCAGCAGGCGTTTTTGAAAGTGGGGGGGACACAGCTGCCAATCACAAATTTTGCCGGGGACATGTCCCCGGCGTCCCCGGTTAAAATGACGCCTATGGACAGATGAGTAGAAAACCTCGGTGGGGCGCAGATTTCTTTCTTTTTTCTTTTTTACTCAGCGCTTGTGCGCCCCTTTTGTGTCATGAAAAAATGCTGCCAAGGGCAACTGCCCTTTCTGCCCGTGCCTAAAACCGATACTGCCTGTCACTGTGACCCGATTGATCATGCGCCCTGGCTACTTGAACAAGGGAGATCTCTGTTTGGCTGACTGGTTAGCCTGTGTGACTTTCACCTGGGAGTCTGGGGATCGAATCCTGATCGGACTATTTTTTTATATCCGCCACAGATCTCTCTGAAGAACTCAGCATTGACGGCTTCAGCAACGCTGTGCCACTCCGTGGATTTTCTCTTATTTGTTTTGCAAAAGCACTTCCGTTCATTTCTCCACCTCACCCACAGGTACCTCAATTTCTGCTTGTGAAATAGCGCTTCCTTGATCTGCCTTGATCTACGGTGGCCATGTCATTGGCGGAGCGCTGCAACAGTTGGCTTATGTATATGCATGAGATCCAGAAGGCACTTTGTATTGACTATTTATGTCAGTAAGTGGGCGTGGTGAGGGCGGGATGTGACTAAAAAGCAGCTGAGAAACATTCTTGTTAGTCTCCGATTTATGAAGCGGAGATTGCGTGCAGCTGTGCGTACTCCATGTTTGATAGATCACAAACCTGCTTTACGTTAAGTACATTTTTTTTGCTGAGCTTAAGTATAGTTTTAGTAAGGATTCTACGCAATGTTTGATAAATGAGAACCTAGGACTGGACGCCACTCAATGATCATTAAATGATGCAAAGTAAGAAAATCCTAAATTCAGTGTCAACACCAGAAATGACAATGTGTTTATCTACTTATCAACCTACTGTGTGTGACTCGTCTTCACTTGTCATCTAGAACCTTCTGGTGCTGATCCGTAACTTACAACAGCCATGAAACTCACAGAACAGTAGTGAGAAAGTCACCTTTTGTTTTTAAAAATGGACTGCTGTACCCAAAGTTGACCATAGGCTGCCATTATTACTTCATTCTTGCATCTGATTGGAGCCTCTTCAGGTGGTTTTCCAGGATCACTACTCAGAGTAACTCGGACCAGTGCAGCTCAGCCTGACAACTGTTCCCATGGGCACGGTTCAGTTTGGTATTTTCCCACGTTCTCCCCTATTTTTAGTCCCTGCTACACTGAGATACCTGGCAAGGCTGAGTCGGGCTGGCATCATGATTCTGGCCGCTGATTGGTTAGGGGACGGAGTCACTGGTTGCTCCGGAGTTTCTTGACTTCTGCTTCACTGCCTGCAGCCACTTCCTGGTTCAGAGTCTGACAAAAAGCCATAAAACTGAACAAAATGTCCAGCAACACCACCATTTATCAGCCGAGTTGTGTTTCTGTGGAGCACGCTAGTTGTCTTGTTATTTTGTCGTGAGTAAAATTGTGTGACAATAACATTTCAACCTTTCAACATTGGACAGTAACATTGGAACCAATAACATTTCTACCACTCTTCCTCCTATTTTCACCCGTTTTGCTGATGTGAAATACAGAATGTTTTATTTACTGGCATTTTAAAGTGGAAAGTCAATTAAAACAAACAATCTCAGAGATTCAATCTGTTTCAAACTCTGACCAATGTGATTAAGATGATTGTAAAAATCTGGACTATCTAATTATGGCACTGGTAAGTGTTTGTAGTGGTGGGATTTTCTTATCTGCTCAAGTGAAATCTCAATTTAAATGCATTCTTCCATCAGGTGATTCAATGAAGTACCATAATGGCCGTCCATTCTCAGCCCGAGACAAGGAACCGGACCCCCTGGGAATCCACTGTGCTAGGGCTTACATGGGAGGATGGTGGTATAAAAACTGCTACAAGGCCAACCTTAATGGTGTTTATGGCAGCAACAGTAATAACCAGGTAACACAGATACTGACAGATAGTTAATTTCTCATATTCTGTTCCCTAAAACGTACCAATGACTTATTGTTTTCAATCTGACACAGGGAGTGGTCTGGATAGACTGGAAGGGGAAGGACTCTTCTATTCCTCTAACTGAGATGAAGTTCAGACCCTCCAGGTTCTCCCCTGCTACTCATGGCTGAAGATGTGTCGTTCTCTTTGAGCATTAAAATCAGAAAACAAAGCAAAAAAAAGGAGAAAAGCTTCAGAAATCCAGATGAGGGCAAACATCACAGCTGCTGCTGCTGGCCTCCTTCCAGCTGAACTACAATTTAGTGGTTTTCCACATCGGATGCAGCAATGAGTACATGTGATCCAATGTTTAATGTGTTTTTCTGAGCTGTTTTTGTGGTAAATGTCACAAAAAGCTGATAAATGATACTTTGTAACGTTTTATATACTGATCTAATCTTTTGCCTGACTTATTTTTTTTATCTTTTCACTTTTGGGTACCTCAAAACTTGGTACGCAATCCCACTAGTACTGTAATGAAATATGCACTGTCTTACTTCATAGGAATAAATGTGTCTAGAGTGGGTCTCATGTGTTGTTTTTCAATTATTTGTAAAAGTAAGACATGACTGATTAGCATGTGATGTATTTGTTTGCCCTTCAAACACATCCATCTCTGTTGTTTCTAGGTTATCTCTAGTTGAATGTGTTACACTCATCATTAGCTATCGTGGCCGAGAACAAACATTTAGATGTCCTTGGTTTTAGTGGAAACAGCCTATCCAACCACACACACGTATAAAAGGGAAGAGCAGCACTCTGACCTGCTTTTTGAAGTGTGACACCAACAAGAGGACAATGTGGTTAGAGACATCCCTGATCAGTGTCGGAGCTGTGTTTTTGCTGGTTCTGCTCTTATTTTTCCTCATTTCTGGTCAAACAGACACTCGTTTACAGGGAAAGGAGGAAACAGGTAAGCCTGCAGGAATTTCATCCCATTAAATACAAACGATCGTGTGTGTCAGCGTCACAGTGTTTTATTTCTAACTGAGCAGGGGCTGAATGTGGATTTCTGCAGCGTCTTTATCAGTTTCTCCATCATTCCTCCTCCCCCGCCCTCCCCGGACCCCCCAGCCGATTTCTAATTGGCAACATGATGGAAATGACACATGATCACATGCCATCACACCTGACGAATCTGGCGCAGCGCTATGGAAACATATACCGTCTGAAATGTGGAAGCACAAGTACTGATTCTGAGATTAATTTGGAATTGTTCAACATACATTTCTTGAACTACATTCGTGTTTATTTTTAAACACTTCTACTTTTTTTGAAGCCTTGGTGGTGCTCAACAGTGGTGAAGTCATAAGGGAAGCACTGGTGAAGAAATGGTCTGACTTTGCAGGGAGGCCAGCTTCCTACACAGGTGAAGAACATTTTACTTTACAGCGCTGATGAAAGTAAAGAACACACGTCCTCATGGCCTGCCTTTGTGTCAATCAGGTGATATTGTGTCAGGAGGTGGGCGTAACATCTCTCTGGGGGATTACACCGAGGAGTGGAGGGCGCATCGCCGTGTCGTCCACAGCGCCTTGCTGCGCTGCTGCCAGCAGTCTTTGCACGGCGTGATCGAGAGGCAGGCTCTGCATCTGAGAAAGGTGCAGAAGACAATCAGCAGCTGCGGGAATCTCAGCTGGAATGTTGCCTCGTCACGTGATCTGACAAAGCTCGGTTTGTTTACCACTCAGGTTCTGATGGACTATCAAGGGACAGCTGCAGATCTCTCAGAGGACTTCACGGTAGCAGCCAGCAACGTCATCACCACTCTGGCTTTTGGAAAAGAAGTGAGCAACCTTTCTGCTGCTGTTCATTTGAAACTCTCGACAACTGCGGATGGTTTATAACATCTGCATCAATGAGCCGTTGTGAAGATGCCAGACCTGTAATTGGTTGTGTGTTTGTGTTGGGAGGAGGTGACGTTGCTGCATTTAGGAGGCATACATGCATGAAGCTGGTCTTACTTCTGTAGCAGACAAGATTTTCTCTTCTTCTAGTACGACAAGACGTCATCCGAGCTGCAGGAGCTTCACAGCTGTCTAAATGAGATAGTTGGTTTGTGGGGCTCCTCTTGGATCTCTGCTCTGGACTCCTTTCCTCTGCTCAGAGTCAGTAAATGTTCATTAAAGCGGCTGTCAGCCACACTGTGGAAAATCAGATTTTATGGAGGATTTCATGTTTTTTCTTTCTCTAAGAAATTACCCAATCCTGTGTTTGCTCGTCTTCTCAAAGAGGTGGCCAGGAGGGATGAAATTATCAAACAGCATCTCCGTGATTATAAGGTTGGTGTTTTATAAATCATGCTTTAGTGTTTACATTCACAAACCACAGACGTGATATTCATGCTCATGTAGCGGAAGTGCAGCCCTTTTTTCTGGTGATTTTATGCAGCTGCAAGACAACAAGAAAGCAGATGCCATAATGGGATCCCTCCTCCAGGCTTTTGACAAACAAAACAACGCCGAACAAGGACAGGTGTGGATCAGGAGCTGTGTGAAACAAGTGTTCACTTATGACTGGATTAAAATGATTGCACGTTTTCTCTCCAGCTCTTGACAGATGTCCACGTCCACATGACTACTGTGGATCTTCTCATCGGTGGGACAGAGACCACGGCGGCTTGGCTGAACTGGACCGTGGCTTTCCTGTTACACAGACCAGAGGTTTGGGGCTTTATTACTCATAAATAAACAGTCCTTGCAGTTTATTTCAGTGGACACATCCTTTTTGCACCCTCCAGGTTCAGACCAGAGTGTACGAGGAGTTGTGCACGGTTTTAGAGGAGCGTTATCCCAAATACAGTGACAGACACAGACTTCCTGTTCTGAGCTCAGTGATCAACGAGGTGCTCAGACTCAGACCAGTCGCTCCTTTGGCCGTACCTCACCGAGCCATCAGAGACAGCAGGTCAGCTCGGATGAACAAGACTGAGGCAATCTGTTTGTTGTCTTTTAAGAAGAAAAGCCTTGTTTTCAGCGTAAACAACCTGATTGTTATGACTGGATTTATCAGTGAAGATTTCTCATTATCAGTGCTGGAGTTATGATAAATATTAACATAATAAAGATCTGACCCATTTTTGCACTTGGATGATGCTGACATCAGGTTAGGGAGCAGAAAAACGATAAATAACTGCAGTTTGTCCCCCAAGTAGCATCGCAGGTTATTTCATCCCCAAGAACACCGTCATCATTCCTAACCTTTTTGGAGCTCATCATGATCCTGCAGTCTGGTCTGAGCCATACAGCTTCAAACCAGGTAGCCAGCTCTCCTGTTGGGGCGGACGCCATGGACCCTGTGGTTTTATATTAAAGTTAATGCTCTCTCTCTCTTTCTCTCTCTCTCTCTCTCTCTCTCTCTCTCTCTCTCTCTCTCTCTCTCTCTCTCTCTCTCTCTCTCTCTCTCTCTCTCTCTCTCTCTCTCTCTCTCTCTCTCTCTCTCTCTCTCTCTCTTCTCTCTCTCTCTCTCTATCTCTCCATCTCTCTCTCAGAGCGCTTTCTGGAAGGAGGAGGAGGCTCCGCTCGCTCGCTGATGCCTTTTGGAGGGGGGGCTCGGCTCTGCCTAGGGGAGTCCTTGGCCAAAATGGAGCTGTTTTTGTTCACTGCCTACCTACTGAGAGATTTTGAGTTCATCCTTCCTGAGAGAGGAGCCCCCCTGCCTGATCTAACAGGGCTGGCCAGTGTTGTACTAAAGATCGAGGCCTACAGAGTCGTTGCACGTCCCAGACCTTTAACTGAACCGTAGTCGGTGTGGTGCTCAGCTTGTTCCAACTGTTTTCCTGTCTCCTGAATCAGTTTTGGTCCTGATGAAAATAGGATTTATTAAACATGTTAGACAATGAGAATAATAAAGTATAAAGAAAACTAACTCAATTTTTCTATTTTCAATTTTTATTTATTAAATAGTTTTGATTAGTGAATGTTACCCTTGTGTATTTATCTGTATTAATGTTTCCTTTTCTCTAAGCTGCCTAACAAGGAAATTTCCTCACAGTGGGATTATTAAAGTCTGTTCTATTTTATTGTATTCTAGTCTATTCTAACTATACTGCAGCCTGCATCTGACCTAACCTAACTCTCATTTTAAAGATTAATCTGGGGCTTCAGGTCTGAAAACGGACATGGTCCCAGCTTGTTTTTATCTCTCTACTGTGATTCATTCTATTTATTTTACTGAACATCCATCCATACATCCATTTTCAGCCACTTATCTGGGGTCGGGTCATGGGGGCAACAGCCTAAGCAGGGAGGCCCAGACTCCCCTTTCCCCAGCCACTTGGGCCAGCTCCTCCTAGAGAATCCTAAGTTTCATAGTCAGCCATAGACAAAGCCCCTCCAGTGTTGAACGTGCCCAGAAAACATCACTGGAAGGCCGTCAGAAGGCTTCCTGACCAGATGCCCAAGCCGCCTTAACTGGCTCCTCTCATTGTGGAGAAGCAGCAGATCTACTCTGAGCCACTCTCAGATGACTGAGCTTCTCGCCCTATCTCTAAAAGAGAGTCCAGCCACCCTGCAGAAAAAACTCATTTCGGCCACTTGTATCTGTGATCTGATTCTTTCGGTCACTACCCAAAGCTCATGACTATAGGTGAGGGTAGGAATGTGATTGAGCAGTAAATCGAGAGCTTTGCCTTCTGGCTCAGTTCTCTCTTCACCACGACAGATGGGTACAACGCCCGCATCATGGCAGACGCAGCACCAATCCGCCTGTCGATCTCACTCTCGTGAACAAGTCTCCAAGATACTTAATCCTCTCAGACTCAAAATAAGTTTTGATAAAAGGACGAACAACTAAGTCCTTCAGGGGAACTTCTGAGTTAAAAAATGCTCATGAAACACGTGTGTGGAGTAACCAGGTAGGTAGGTTTTAATGTTGCTAATCTGCTCACCTGCCTCCAGAGGGTTAAACTCCTCCACTTGAGGCAGTTATTCACATTGGCGGTAACGACACCCGGTTACGCCAATCGGAGGTCACTAAAATTAATGTTGCTTCGCTGTGCAAGTTTGCCAAAACAATGTCGGACTCCGTAATTTTCTCTGGCCCCCTACCCAATCGGACCAGTGACGACATGTTTAGCCGCACGCTGTCCTTCAACCGCTGGTTGTCTAGGTGGTGTCCTGAAAACAACGTGGGCTACATTGATAATTGGAAAACTTTTTGGGGAAAACCTGGTCTGATGCGGAGAGACAGCATCCATCCCTCTTTGGATGGAGCAGCTCTTCTTTCTAGGAATATGGCCAGTTTCATTAGTCCTCCATGACAACCCAGGGTCCAGACCAGGAAGCAGAGTCGTAATTTAACACACCCCTCTGCAGCTTCTGTACTGTTACCCACCCACTACCCCATAGAGACAGTGTCCTGCCCACGGCCAAAACCACACAGATTAAATATCAGACTTAATAAAGCAAACCATGGAAATCTCATAAATATTAGAACAAATTCAACTGAGCAGAAAACTAGAAAAATTAAATGTGGGTTGTTGAACATTAGGTCTATTTTTTCTAAGACTTTGTTAGTTAATGACTTGATCTGTGATAATCAGATTTCTTTGCTTTCTCTCACAGAATCCTGGCTGCAGCAAGAGGACTATGTTAGCTTAAATGAGTCGACTCCTTCAAATTATTTAAATCATCATATTGCTCGAAGTACAGGGCAAGGAGGAGGAGGAGTAGCAACCATTTTTCATTTGGACTTATTTAATCAGTCCCTTACAGATTAATAGTTACAGTTTGTTTGAACATCTTATTCTTAGTTTTCCTAATCCAGATTGCAAAACTGTAAAACCACTCTTGTTTGTAGTTTTATATCGTCCACCAGGCCCTTACTCTGAGTTTTTGGATCAGATCTCTGATTTTTTTATCTGATTTGGTGCTAAATACTGATAAGGTCATTGTAGTGGGGGATTTTAACATTCATGTGGACATTGAAAATGATAGCCTCAATGTAGCCTTTAGTAATATCTTAGACTCAATTGGTTTTACTCAAAGAATAGATAGCTCCACCCACTCCTGCCATCATACATTAGACCTTGTGCTGACTTATGGCATAGAGTGTGAGGAAATAACGATCTTTCCACATAATCCAGTCCTCTCGGACCACTTTCTGATAACCTTTGAGTTTTTTATAACTGAGTTCTCGAGACATGAAAGTAAATTTCACTATAGTCTGTCTCTATCTGACAACGCAGTTGCGTCTTTTAAATCAACTGTTCCATCTTTACTGTCCTCAGCATCTCAGAGGAACGTAGCAGAGGGCAATATTTTCATTTCTAGCCCCTCACAAATTGATGCCTTAGTTCATCATGTTAATTCCTCTTTACGTGTGGCATTAGATGATGTTGCCCATATAAAAAAGAAGATAATTAGGGACAGGAAGTTGACTCCCTGGTTTAATTCTCATTTACGAGCTTTAAAACAAAACTCTAGGAAATTGGAGAGAACATGGCGCTCTACGCACCATGAGGAGGCCTACCTATCCTGGAAAAATAGTCTTGTGCTTTATAAAAATAAGCTTCAACAAACTAGGACTGCTCATTTCTCAGCACTAATTGAGGAGAATAAGAATAATCCTAAATTTCTTTTCAGTACAGTTGCTAAACTTACACAGAATCATAGCTCTGAGCCATCTATTCCCTTAGCCCTCAGCAGCAATGACTTCATGGGATTTTTTACAAGTAAAATTAATTCTATTAGAAACAAAATCTTTAGCATCCTCCCTAATGCGATTTCTTCTTCCTCAGTAAGTGAGGCAGCATCAGAGGTAACTGTAGAACCTCATCTGTGCTTGAACCGTTTTGATCCAGTTGAGCTTTCAGAGTTATCAAAAATATTAGCTTCATCTAAACCTTCCACTTGCATTTTGGATCCAATCCCAACCAAATTATTTAAAGAAGCATTTCCTTTGGTTACTGCCCCCATTCTAGATATAATCAATCTATCCTTAGTAAATGGATATGTACCACAGGATTTTAAGGTTGCTGTAATCAAACCTTCACTTAAGAAGCCTTCTCTGGATCCAGGTGACCCAATGAATTATAGACCAATATGTAACCTTCCATTTTTATCCAAAGTCCTGGAGAAAATAGTAGTCGTCCAAGTATGTGAGCATTTAAACACTAATGATCTGTTTGAGGAATTTCAGTCTGGTTTTAGAGAGTATCACAGCACTGAAACTGCATTAGTGAGAGTTACAAATGATATTCTCATGGCCTCAGATAGGAATCTTGTGTCTGTTCTAGTCTTGTTAGATCTCAGTGCTGCCTTTGACACAGTAGATCACAATGTTCTTTTAGAAAGACTTGAACATGTTGTAAAGATCAAAGGAACAGCGCTAGGCTGGTTTAAATCCTACCTGTCTGACAGATTTCATTTTGTAAACGTACATGACAAATCGTCTTCATACTCCAGGGTTACTTGTGGAGTACCACAAGGTTCAGTGCTTGGACCAATTCTTTTTACTATACATATGCTCCCAATTGGTAAAATCATTAGACAGCATGGGATAAACTTTCACTGTTATGCTGACGATACTCAGTTATATTTATCTATTAACCCTGATGAACCTAATCGGTTGGGTAGATTACAGGCTTATCTTGACAACATAAAAAATTGGATGACTCTAAACTTTTTTCTTTTAAATCAAGACAAGACGGAAGTTCTCATCTTTGGACAAGAAATCTAGAAAAGGAAATTGCTTAGCCAATCGCCTGACCTGAATGGCATTATATTTATCTCTGACAATAAAGTAAGGAACCTTGGTGTTATCTTTGACCAGGACATGTCCTTCAAATCCCAGGTTTAACAGGTTGGTGTGGTGTCGCTGCTCATGCGGTCGACTGGTCATCTTGTGTTGCAGCAGTATAGGTTTTTTAATCGGCTTATCTGGATATTTATTAGCTTTTATTTTTTAGCTTTTTAAAAAGTTTTAGTTCTTTTGAGTTTTCCTGTACACATCTATATGCATTTGGCACCTTAAATGTGTTGTCTTTGGAGACTTCCTGGATGCTAAATGTGGCCTGGCTCAGGCACTAGCTGAAGCTTTGTTTACTTACCTGGCTTCCCTTTTTGTCCCTCTTACTCCGCTGACTCCTTACTCTGGACTACAACTTCTGCTGGAATGGATATTCTGAGGATCCTGGCAGTTGTAGGGACATTCTGTGTTGAGCGTTGCAGCATCAACAACGTTGAACTCGAAGAAAGAAAAGATAGGACCAAAAATGCTTTCTTCTTGTGTCTTTTATTTTAGAACTGCGACACAAGCATGTTAACATCCACACCGGAGACCACGTTCTCCTCAACAACCATTACGCACTGACGCAGTGTGCGTGCCGCTCTGGTGGTGAAAAACTAAAAGCACAACCCTCTCAATAACATCAGTTTACACAGCTGAGAACGTGAGTACACAAATTTGAACATCCCAACACCTCTTCTTGAACTCATGTTGCTCAAGTCTTCAAAACAAAAAAAACACCATATTGGTTTTAATATCTTGTTTTCCCCCTCTTTATCTCTTCTAAACACCAAACAAAATACCTGCAAACTTTCCAAGTTTTAACCTAGAAACAGGCTTGGTCATAATGTCTGCAGCCATCTCTTCAGTAGTGCAATATAACAGAGACATTTTTCTCTCATTTACAATGGACCTTACAAAATGATATTTAATGTCCACATGTTTGCACCTTTGTCGACTCACAGGGTTATTAGCCAAAGCGATCGTCCCCTGGTTGTCCTCATACACCACTGTCTGTGTGTATTTGTAGTTGTCTATACCTTTCAAAAGCTGTTCTAAATATATACACTCTTGCATTGTGGAAGCTAGAGCTATATATTCTGCTTCAAATAGAAATCGCCACAGTAGGTTGCTTCCTGGTTTTTCATGAAACCAGAGAGCTGTTGTTGCATAAACTGACACAATAACCCGAAGTACTGCGTCTATCATTTTTGTCTCCTGCCCAGTCAGCATCACTGTAGGCTATTAAACCTAGGTTTTCACTGTTGCTCCTGAAGCACAACTGTTTGCCTTTTGTTCCCTTTAGGTATCTCAATACATGTTTTACAGTTATCCACTGTTCTTCTGTTGGTTCCTGGAGATGTTGAGACAATTTGCTGACCACAAAACTCAAATCTGGACGGGTACATGTTACAAGATATATAAGACTTCCAACAGCCTCCCTATACATTTTCACACCTTCCATCCTAGTAGCTTCTCCTGTGTAACTCAACTTTTGTTCACATAGAGTTTCCCTGGGCTTACAGTTCTCCATGTTAAACCTTGTCAGTATTTTGTTAACGTATGTTTCTTGTGACATTGTTACACATCCATCAGACTGAGTGAAATCAAGACCCAGAAAATGCTCAAGTCTGCCCAAATCCTTCATCTTAAATCTGGTTGAGAGCATTTTTTTCACTTCTTCCATTTCTTTTTCATTGCTTGCCGCAATTATTAAGTCATCAACCCGAATAATCATAATTATTATTCCTTGTTCTGTTTCCTTGGTGAACACACAGTGTTCTGCAGGGTTTTGCTTAAATTTGTTTACAGTCAAGTTATCGTGCAGAATCTTGTTCCAGTTTCAACCGGATTGCTTTACCCCTTAAAAGGATTTCTTTAGTTTACACACCAAACCTTCCCCTTCTTCATAACCTTTTGACTGATCAACGTAGATCTCATAGTCGATGGGAGCATGTAAATACACTGTTTTCACATCCATTTGGTTGAGTAACAGATTCTCCTGTGCTGCTTTCTGTAGAAGAACTCTTATGCTGGTCAAGTTAGCGGTTGGAGAGAATGTCTCGCCATAATCTATTCCCATTTTCTGACTGAAACCTTGGGCTACAAACCTTGCTTTGTATCTGTCCTGTCCTTCGCTGTCACTTTTGACTGAATGAACCCACTTTCCTCCCACGGTTTTCTTTCCTTTTGGTAAAGTGGTAAGGGTGAAAGTGTTGTTTTCTTTTAAGGATTTTACTTCTTCATCCACAGCTTTTCCCCATTTCTTGGAGTTAACTGATCCCATAGCATCCTCAAATGTGTTCGGGATGCCACAAACCCCTCGGTAACAATAGTCTATGGTAGTGTAAACTTCATCGCTACCACAATGATCAGTTATAAAATCCTTAAGGTGACTGGGTTTTCCTTTCTCCCAGTAGGATTCCTTCTAAAATCAGGTACTTCTTTTTCTGCATCTGACACCTTTGGTTCATGCTCATCTGGTATGTCATTTTGTACATTTTTATCACTTGTCGTTTCATGAACACCCTCATTGTGTTCGACTTTATCTGAGTTTGTGTCTGTCAGGTTGTTCTACACTGGTGTAATCCTCATTTATTTCTGTCTCATCTGTCTGTGTTTCTCTCTCCACATTTTCTTTTCTTATAAACTTAACCAGTCTGTGTTTTTGAACTGTTTCTGTATCCGGGTGGTAAACGAGATAGGCTGGACTATTTTTATCATAGCCTACAAAAAATCCCTGGCTACATTTTGGATCAAGCTTACCTTTGTGTTGTTTGTATGCAAAACATGCAGATCCAAACTTCTCCATTTTTGATACATCTGGCTTTTTGTCTGTCAGCATTTGATAAGGGGGTTTCCCTGTTGTCATGACTCAAGGGAGGTGTTTAACCCAAGACATGCAAAATCAACACGACTTCTTAAAACAGGAACAAAAGGCGCACTGGAAAGTCCAGTGAGGGTGTACCGTTCGGCTTTAGTCCATATAATAATCTAAGAAGTGCGGACAGGTGGGTAGCCAAGGTGAGTGTAGGTGGTGGCTCAGTGGCTGAGGCGGGTGAGGCAGCAGAGATTAAATGGCAGGCGTTGTAGAGGAGGATGGGACGTGGTTCTGGAAATCCGGGGTTCGAGCGGCGAGAGTAGTGTGTAGCGTGGAGTATCCTGAACAGAACAAACAAGCAGGGTTTAGAGGAGAATCCAAAAAGCGTAATCCAGATAAACAGTCCAAGGTTCAGAGCCAAAAATCCAATGTCAAATCCTAACGAGCAAAAACGAGCAAACAAGGTGAAGAGGCTGGGGCTACCTAACAGGTGCAATCATCCGGCGTAGTGTGGTGTCTCCATCCTCCCTTTATACCCGACCTCCTGATTGGAGATTCGGCGCACCCGCAGCTCCCTCCGCTCCTCACCTGTGGAAGATTGCCTCAGAGCTGGTTAGTAATGAGAGAGAGCTCACCTCAGCTCAGGAACATGACACCTGTTCACCTGTTAAAACATCGGTTTTGTGTTATAGCTGCTGTTTGGACAGCATAGTTCCATAGACACTTTGGTAACTGACTCTCAATCAGCATGCATCTACCCATCTCAAAAAGGGTACGCCACCCTCTCTCGGCTGTCCCGTTTTGATGCGGTGAATATGGAGCAGTTGTCTCATGCCTGATACCATTTTTCATTAGTAGAGCCTGGAACTCTCCACAGGTGAATTTGGTGCCGTTATCTGATCTAAGGCACTTCACATTACCATAAGGGGCAACATCTGCAAGAAACTTTTCCGCAGAGGTGGAAAGTAACGAATTACATTTACTCACGTTACTGTAATTGAGTAGCTTTTTTGTAAATTTATACTTTTTAAGTCGTTTTTAAAATCTGTACTTTTACTTTTACTTGAGTAAGTTTTTTAAAAAGAATTGTAATTCGCTACATTTTAAATCATATCCGTTACTGAGTAAAAATAAATTATAGGCTTAATAAATTAAAAATATTACGTGTAGCAGCGTCGGAACAGAAAGAGACACCTGCATGAGCGCCACGTCTAAACCGGGGAGGGGGGGCTACATGCTTTATGATGAGGACAAACAGCCATTTTTACCGCAGTTTTGCTCAAAAACAAAAGTTCTATGATCCACTCGCTGTTTGCCTCCTCTCTCCCTCCTCTCCTGTGGGTTGGAACTGTCAGGTACGATCGGCTGAGCTGGAGTGTGGCTTGGAGACCCAGGCGCGGAGAGACTGGTATTTGGTCGTGACTGATTACAGCGTGGGAAGTTCTCTTCCCGGATGGTCTTTAGAGTTGGCAGATTAGGCTTAGTCGTTTTGAGAATTGGTTGGCGTCTATCGTGAGATGATGACTGAGTGCCGGCTCAGCTGTGACAGGTCCTTAAATAGGCTCAGCGGGATGACGTCACCGGGAAGCGTCGGTGACAGGGATGCTGGGAACTGGAGTGCAGTGCCAGCCAGGCCCGCAGAGGAGGTTAAGAGGAGGAGTTCATGACAGCCCCATACACCCCCCCCCCCCCCCCCACCACCACCACCACCCCCCACCCCCACCCCCCCACCCCCCCGCCACGAGGGACGGCTCCAGAAGGCCCAGGGCGACGAGACCAGAAATCAGCCAACAGGGAAGGATCCAGAAACGAGCGGGCAGGCTCCCAGCTACGCTCCTCCGGACCGTAACCTTGCCAGTCCACCAAATACTGCCATCCACGGCCCCGGCGGCGGGCGTCCAGAATCTTGCGGACGGTGTAAACGGGGTCCCCATCGACATCTCGGGGCATCGGCACCTGGGCCGGAGGCGGATGGAGGGGAGACGACACCATCGGCTTGAGCTGTGAGACGTGGAATACCGGGTGCACCTTAAGAGTGGAAGGGAGGCGCAGCCGGTAAGCGACCGGACCGAGGACATCTTGGACTCGGAAGGGACCCAAAAAGCGGGGCGACAGCTTCCTGGAACCAGCCGGCAACCGGAGGTTAGCGGTAGAAAGCCAAACCCGGTCACCTGGCTGGAACACAGGGCCGGGCCGGTGGCGGCGACGATGTTGTCGGGAGTACTCCGTATTAGCCCGGGTGATGGCGGCGCGAGCCCTGATCCAAGCGAGACTGAGAAACTGGAGGGTACGAGCCTGGCCTTGGTGTCCTGCGAGCCATGAACTATGCCCCAACCTCAAGGCCTCCTGTCGACACACGGCCGGAACGTAAAGGCGGTTAGGAGGCGTCTCTGGGGGCGCCGGGTCAGCCGGGAGAGCCGCCCGGATGGAGGCTTCCAGGGGCCATTGCAGGGCGGCCAAGAACCGTTCGGTCGGGAGGATGGACATCGGTTCAGGAGGCCTTGGATCCTGGGTGTGTTGACGGGAAAGGGCGTCCGCCTTGAGGTTCTTTGAGCCGGGGCGGTAGGCGATGTGAAAGTTATAAGATTCGAAAAAGAGGGCCCACCGGGCCTGACGAGGGTTGAGTTGGCGAGCGGTCTGAATATGGATGAGGTTCTGATGATCAGTCCAGATTAGAAAAGGAGTGGGGGTACCCAGAAGCCACTGTCGCCACTCCTCCAGGGCCCACTTTATCGCCAACAGTTCCCGGTCCCCGACCCCATAGTTCTGCTGAGTAGGAGAGAACTTCCGGGAAAAGAATGCGCAGGGATGGAGTTTGGAGTCCTGGCCACGTTGTGACAGTACGGCTCCCGCGCCCGTCTCGGAGGCGTCCACCTCCACAACGAAAGGCCATGTTAGGTCCGGGTGGAGGAGGATGGGCTCGCTTACAAAGTGGCGGATCAGCTCATGGAAGGCAGCAACGGCCTCCAGGGAGAGGCGGAAAGGGCGAGGCTGATTGGTTGTTTTAGTCAGGGAAGTTAATGGTGACGCCAGGGCGCTGAAATTGCGGATAAACCGGCAGTAGAAGTTGCAGAACCCCAGGAAACTCTGCAGCTGCTTCAGGGTCTTTGGTAGTGGCCACTGCGCTACCGCCTGAACCTTCTGTGGGTCCATGCACAGGCCCTGGGAGGAGATGATGAATCCCAGAAACGAGGTGGACTCCTGGTGGTTTACAGAATAAGTCGTGCTCCAGGAGGCGTGACAGAACGGCTCGAACATGCTGGGTGTGTTCCTTGGCCGTGCGGGAGTAGATGAGGATGTCGTCTAAGTAAACAAGAACCCAACGACCCAGCATGTCACGGAGGACATCGGTGATGAAACGCTGAAAGACGGCAGGGCTGTTGCAGAGGACGAAGGGCATGACCAGGTACTCATAATGTCCAGTGGGTGTAATAAAAGCGGATTTCCACTCCTCTCCTTCCTTTATGCGGATGAGGTTGTATGCACTGCGGAGGTCCAGCTTGGTAAACAGTGTGGCTTGGGCAGTGGCGTCCAAAGCCGTGCTCATTAAAGGGAGAGGATGGCGGTCCCTGATGGTGATCTTATTCAACCTACGATAGTCTATACAGGGCCGGAGGTCACCCTCCTTCTTCTTCACAATGAAGAACCCTGCCGCCCCAGGAGACGTGGAATGTCGGATAAACCCCTTCCGGAGAGCCTCGTTGATATAAGCGTCCATCGCCTGGGTCTCTGCCGGGGAGAGCGAGAACAGCCGACCCTGAAGCGGGGTGGTTCTGGGCTGAAGCCTGATCTCCAGATCGTAGGGGCAAGGAGGAGGCAGCTTGGTGGTAGGCTCCTTTGCAAAGACCCGAGCCAGATCGTGGTATTGGGGTGGAAGGAGTGTTAAATCCACATCCTTGGGTGGTGTCTCCCTAGGCTGTGATCCTGGAAGGAGTGTTAAATCCACATCCTTGGGTGGTGTCTCCCTAGACTGTGATCCTGGAGACGGATGATGAAGGCGACAGTTAACACCCCATGCCATGACTTTACCGGTGGACCAGGAGATGTGAGGGTCGTGGAGGCGGAACCAGGAATGACCCAGAATGAGAGGAGTCGTGGGGGCGTGAATGACCAAGAAATGAAGGGTCTCTACGTGTTCTCCGATGGTCATCCGGAGGTTCTGGGTTCGGTGCGTGATAGGATATGGCATGAGAGGGCGACCGTCCACTGAAGTGACGGGAACGGGGTGATCGAGGAGAGTGAGTGGAATCTTGAGCCGGTTGACCAATCCCTGGTCGATAAAGCTTTCTGCAGCTCCAGTGTCGAGGAGAGCCACCAGGGGGACCGGTCCTTGGCTCAGCTGGAAGGAGACCGGGAGGGTGGTGTGATGAGGAGCTGCATGAATGGAGGCTCCGGGTGAGACCGCTCCTACACCGACCCGGAGGAACCGTTTCCCGGGCGTATGGGGCATGTTGCCCGGGGATGGCCCAGATCCCCACAATAGGCGCATCGTCCCTCCCGAAAACGTCGCGCCCGTTCCTCGGGGGGCAAATGACCCAGTTGCATGGGTTCCTCCGTGGGTTGGTTCTCCTGACGGCGGGGGAATGTTCTGGGTTGTATGGGAACCGCCCTCGCTCCTGGTCTGGTGAGAAGGCAGCGATCCAGCTGGAGAGCCAGGTCCACAGCCTGGTCCAGGGAGGTCGGGGCCTCGTGTCCGATCATGCCCTCCCGGATGCGAGGTGACAATCCCTCCAAGTACACAGCCTTCACCGCGGCATCACCCCAGGTCAGACGGGCAGCGGTGGTTCGGAAGAGTGACGCATACTCGGCCACGGTCTGAGAGCCCTGCCGAAGCTGGAGCAGGTGTGTCTCGTTTGCGACCTCGCTGCTGGGATGCACAAATGCCTTCTTCAGTTCCTTCACAAAGGTTTCATAATCGTTGCACACGGGAGACTTCTGGTTGTACAGAGCAGCCGCCCACTCACCGGCTCGCCCCGTCAGCAGGGAGGTTAACAGGGCAACGCGAGAGCAGGAAGTCGGGTAGCGTGCCGGCTGACACTCGAAAGTCATTGACAGGACGGCCAGCATGCCCTCCGGGGATCCTTTAATCCCATCCCATTTGTCGGGGAGACTTAGAAACGGCTCCACAGTGTTAGAAGTGGCAGATGCCTGACGTTGGAGTGCCGAGGAGAGTTGGACGACCAGTTTGGTGACAGAATCTAATTTGGATGCTCTGCGATCAGTAACAGCACGAAGCTGGTTGTTCTCTATTCGAAGTTGGGCGTTTTCCGCCTCTTGGCGTTCTACACGGCTGAGCAGCTGTGCAACGTCTGCTCGCGGCTGTGCGATCTCCGATGGGTCTACTCGAGTCTCAGTCATCCTGTCAGGTACGATCGGCTGAGCTGGAGTGTGGCTTGGAGACCCAGGCGCGGAGAGACTGGTATTTGGTCGTGACTGATTACAGAGTGGGAAGTTCTCTTCCCGGATGGTCTTTAGAGTTGGCAGATTAGGCTTAGTCGTTTTGAGAATTGGTTGGTGTCTATCGTGAGATGATGACTGAGTGCCGGCTCACCTGTGACAGGTCCTTAAATAGGCTCAGCGGGATGACGTCACCGGGAAGCGTCGGTGACAGGGATGCTGGGAACTGGAGTGCAGTGCCAGCCAGGCCCGCAGAGGAGGTTAAGAGGAGGAGTTCATGACAGGAACCCGCACCTTCTCCTCACCGGTATGACGTCATCAGAATCCTGCTCGGTTCGGCAACCAGACTCAGTTCCGTGTTTGAAATGTGTTTCCCTACCGCGCACGGAAGCGGCAAAATAACGTTTAGCGCTCATAACAAGCGGATTTTCAGCGCTTTGCTCATAAAACAGAAGACCTGCAGGCCTCTGTGAGTTAAAACATCCTGATACTGTTCAGGTGTAAACATTGTGCTCCATCCCTGTGTTTGAACTCAGAAGATGCTTCTTGATGCCACAGATATGTGAAGATTTAGCTTGTTTCTTTATTTTACTCCAGAATAAGAGATTAAATTATTACAAAAGCAGTTCAATGTAGTTAAATTAGTCATTCAAAGATTCTAACATGCTGCAGTGTGTGTGTGTGTGTGTGTGTGTGTGTGTGTGTGTGTGTGTGTGTGTGTGTGTGTGTGTGTGTGTGTGTGTGTGTGTGTGTGTGTGTGTGTGTGTGTGTGTGTGTGTGTGTGTGTAGGACTGCATAAGACAGCATGGCTTCATCGAATCCATGCATCCAATATCTTGGCTGAAGTAATGGTTCAGGAAAATAACTTGTTAGACAATGACGTCTCTGCAGTGTTTATGATAAGGTTTTATCTTATATTGGACCTATTTTTGGTCTGTGAGGTGTAACTTATCATGATACAAGCCTTTTAAAACATGTTAAAGTGTTACAAGAGGAGATAAATGCATAAATTTAAAGTTCATGTTTGGAGACCAATCTTCACAGTTTGGAGGCTCACGCTGGTGAGGAGACACCGTTAGTTCTAGTAACACCTGGGCTCCCAAGGCCTATTCTGACAGGATGGACGTTACGGGACCCTTAAGGATTCCAGTTGGATGATTGGAGGATTATTTAGGAGGACTGGAATGAACAAACTGATTTCAGTGGTGAAGGGTTAAAGATATTGGCTCGGCATTAAAATTGCAGAAATGCAAAATAACTACACTTT